ATGGTTTCATATCAATAGAAGAGAATATCTGTAGCTCAGGGTTGAACGGTGGAGTCCTGGGGGTTCTCTGAGCTTGGCTGTTTTCCTGCAGATATTTCATTACCCAACTAGGTCACATCTTCAGTGCTAGAAGATGTTCAGAGCTAGAAGGTACGATTTCGTACGTCAAATTCTGCAATGACCTACAGTCATTCATTGCTGCTATTAACAAATGTGGGATGTGGCTTTCCTTTCCTCTCATCATCTCACACCAAGCCAGCCTTACCGTTAGAGAGACTGAGGCAGTTGCTTCAGGCAGAAGATGATGAAAGTGGAGATGGGAAGGAGGTTCTGGAGGGATGTGGGTCAGCTCCTACCCCAGTTGATTTCCACCCCATGCAAGCCTGAAGCCAGCCTAAGTATTGTAAGGGGGCATTCAAAAACTTGGGGGAGGGTACTTGGTCTTTTTCCTTCTTCCTCTAATTTTTAGGGAAACATTTTCTAACTTTGTTTGCGCCATTCCCTGCTCTTCTCCCTCGATCCCTGTGAAGCTTTACATTTCTCAAATTCCATGGCAATTGATCTGATGAGGAATTTCTAAACAAAGGGGCTCTCCTAATAGAAATGGATGCTGTAAGGAAAGATACAGGAGAACTGAAGCAGCTGATCATACTGGTGGATTAGAAAGTCCGTGGAGTTCCATATTAAAGGAATAGGAGTCCAGATGGTTCTTTATCTGGTCCTTATGACCACTTAGAATTATTGTATTCCTGCAAAGGAGTTGATGTCCAGATGCATCTAAAATTAACTTTTCAACCTTTATGTCTAGAGATGGTTCAGCTATGATGTTGTATTCCATTCTTAAACAAGAGGACTTACTCACAGTCCCACAAAACAGATTAATTATACAACATGACTGCAAACTCTTGAGTATGTGGTCTTGCTTATAAATATAAAACACGTGCAAGGCAGTTGACACAGATGATTTGCTATAGCCAGTTGGTGAGTGATCTGTGCATAGATGGGGACTGTGTGGGAATTCTAGGATATATACTGTATGTAACTAAATGAACAAACAATCAACATAACAAATTATTTTTCAGTAGAAGAGGCATATGAAATGTCCCTTGCCCAAGGATTTTGCAAAGTGTATCTTGAACTACTTGGAGACTTCAGTACAGGTAGTCCTTGCTTAACGACCACAATTGGGGCCGGAATTTAGGTCACTAAGGGATGCAGTCCTTAAGCAAATTATCATTATAAATATTAAAAATATTAAAATATTATAAATTTTAAATAAATGCAGAAATAAATATGTATTTTTAAAATTAATTTGTTAAAAATGACTCATGTAGATAGTATGCTGTAAGAATTTATGTAAAGTCCTGTACATATTTTGAATTTTAATGTTTCCCACTATACAATCCTTTACATTTCTACTCTGTCCAATAGGACTTATTCTCTGGAAACTAGTTATCTGATTATAACTGTATAAGTTAGTTCATCTAGTCATTAATTCTTCATGTTGCCCAGAGTCTCTCTTTTTGGTATACGTTCAAGGGCAAACCATGTCCAGGTTTGTTATCTTGCAAAACCTCTGGGGATGTCTTCTTAAAAGTTTACTAGAAATTGGTGTTTCCTTTTTTAAACTTGCAGTTCCTTTCCAATTTCTCTAGAAATGTAACCTGTAAGGAGAGAGGCATATACATATAAACAATTACTTATAGGTGGGAACCCAGTGCCTACTTAAGATTTTCCTTCCTTCCCTTCTCCTTCTGTGCTATATATTCAGATGAAAAGTTATGTTGAGAATGTCAATGCTTGCTAAAAAGCTCTGCAACTCATTTAAATCTTCCTTAAGTTAAATCTTAGTGACTACATGAACACATTTATGTTGTTTTCTTGCCACTGCCTTTTTCCAAGACTTGTTTTTAAAAAATACCCAATCCAGTCTATAACCTGGGGATTATGGTGTACTCTCCCACTGAAATACTAGCCAAGTCTGACCCTGCTTAGCTTTGTTAATAAGGTCAAGCAAGGTCAGCTAAGGTCTGCTGAAGTTTGCAGTTGGTCAGGAGATACACTGGAAGTAGCAGACTTCTGTCAATAATAAAGTTACTTATCAACATAATTAAACATACTGTCCCTACAAAAATATCTCTTTATAGGATTGTTGTAAACTGTTGAAGGACACACCATTTTTAAATGAACAAGAATAAAAACGTTAGTTTCAGAATGTTACTGGATCTACACAGACAGTGAAATGAATCAATTACAGGCCAAGTGGGCTGTAATTCAGTGAGCCCGATGATCAATCCATCACTCAAAATAGATCTGTTGGTCTTTCTGACTGATGTGGTTATTCAAAAATAGTATTTCTTTCTTCCTGTCCCCACGTGGATTCTAAGATGTAGCTTATCCTTCTACCACTGTAGAACTTCACTTAATATTACTATAACTCAGAGGTCGGTATGTATTTGTGTATGCATTATAAAATGCGGTTGCAAAAAAGAGAGAAGCCAAATAAACCAAACGCTTTCCCAAAACTGGCTCAAAGAGTTGCTATTCCAGCACATTCTGGAAAGAAAAAGCAATGTTATATTCCTACGCTCCTTCTGTGCCTCGGCATCCGTTCCTCCCTTTTGAAGGGCAGGGCTCAGGTTTAACCTTGATCTGTGCTCAATCATTCTTTCTGTGCTTGAAATCTGGAGTTGTTTCTCTTGCCCAAAGAGAAGACAGCAGGGTGGGGTGGCCTGCTTGAGGGAGCAAGGAAGGGCGGCACAACTGGCTGCACGATGGCAGAACAGAAGTGGGAACGTTAGCTCACACCAGTTCCTTTTCTTCTATACGTTCAGATAAATGTATCCAATATGGGCCATCCCTTGGGCTGCTTTGGGCATCTCCTGTGGATGCTGATGCTCCTTCATTTGCCACTGCGAGAAGTCCATGGATTTTTCCCCAACATCTGGTCTCGTACCATAAGCTTCAGCTGGGGATCCATCACCCACCAGGACATGACTGAAGATGCAATCCTGAACATCACCCTTCGTCTCTTTATGGAGACACCTCACCCTACCAAGGGGAAGCACATCCAAGAAGAGGACTTTAAGGTGAGAGAAATGAGAATTGGACCTGAAAGGAACATGAGATATCTGCAACAAAGTGGGACAAGTTACCGCAACCCTACTCCTCAGTGACATTACCGCACAAAGCCCTCCTGTAGTTGCCGGTGTAGTGATGCCACTGAGGGGTGGGTCTTGCTCAGGCTCCATAGAAGTACATTTTGTTCATTGCTTACCAGCAAAAAACAGGCAGCCCAGCCAGCTGACTTGTTTTTGCTGGTAACTGCCAATTCTCAGTTGAGAACAGTTCCTTCATTATTGTAGGTGACAGAGGGTGCTAGTGCTGTAACTAATGTTTTCTGTTACACAGCTTTCTAATGCTTCGAAACCTCCCGGGCTGCCCACACTATCTAGTCAAAAGCCAAAGTCTGAAGGCAGGAGTTTCCATCTGACGTCTTCCTTTGAGATACATTTGAGGCCTGGGAAGCTGGGGACCCTTGGAGAGAGATGGTAGAATCAATGACCAGACGTTCACAAACGTGTTTCTCAGAGGACAGCTATGTTAACCGATGACAGTGAAGAATCAGGAGGAGTCTGGTAGCACCTTTCTCACCAGCATCTTTTATTAAATGGCATAAGCTTTTGTGAGCTACAGCTCACTTCGTCACATGCATGGAGTGGCTCAACTGAAGCAGGATTTAAACTGGGATGAGGTGGTGGAGAAGGAAGGGAAGACAGGTGGGTCATGCCGGTGCAAGTTATATATGAAACAGGTTGCCAATACCTTATCAATTGACCATTGTAATGTGTTAAAAACCCACTGCCTTTGTTGAGACCTTCTGAAATTGCCTGACATCTTTTGATCTATGTGAGTTCAGCAATCTCTCACTCAACAGTGTTGTTCAAGTCTCATTTTTCCAAAATGGTCACTTTGAGATCTGTAACAGAGCATCCTAGGAGGTTGAAATGCAGTGATATTATCTTGTCCTTGTTTGAGTCCTGGTGTCAAATTTATGTCCATTAATTCTTTTCCACAAAGGTTGTCCCTTGGTCCTACGTAGATCCAGAGGGGCACTGGAATCTAAATTTTTCTGCATCTTATAAGTAAGAAGTGCAAGAACACCATCCTTTGGTCCTGAGAAATCTACTGAAATGCTCTTCTGCTTTGAAATGTTGATAGCCAAGTTTTTTTCAGTGAAAATGAAGGGTCCAAAAATGCAGGAGAGGAGGTAGGGCACTAGTGGCAGAGGGTGGGGCTTATGTCTCTTTAACAACAGTCCAGTGTTGTTATGAAATATAATAATAAACTCTGAAGAGTTGGAAAAGAAGTGGCATTTATAGTAGAAGCTCATTTATCCTACGGTCTAGAGTTGTCTGGAGTGGGGTGGCCTACAAATACAGTCCATCCATCCATAGTATGTACTTCTGTTGAGACCTAATCATTCATTCCCCCTCAACACACTGTTCCTTCTCTATATTGCAGGGAAAAAAATGTGCTTATCTAACATGTTTTTTAATATTATTTCTGATTCTACTTCAACAGGGCAAGACCTTATTGGCTGATGACATCTTTGCCGCTTTCTATGGTCCTGAGGTATCGGCCAAGCGTTTCCGTGCAGCCATTGCAGAAGTAGCCAACGCCAATGCCGCCATGGACTTTGTGAATACGACTCGGGATGACCCCGTTTTCCACTTCGATTCGGAGCTCATTCACTCCACCAATGCCCGGCTGTTGCAGGTTCGCAAAGAGGTCCTCCAAGCTGTGCGTTCTGAGCAATACGGCATCGCCCGAAAAATGTTGGGACAGCTGCTCCATTCCTTGCAGGTATCCCCCAAAATGTACCATATGCAGAATTAGGATAGCAGGGAAGATGGCAGCCTTCTCGGTGACAGCCCCAACTCTGTAGATGTAATGGTCTATGGGAATATCCTTGAGAGAGAGATGGAGGAAGAGGCGCAGCTGGGACAATGGTCAGATAAGAGACAGCTCAGCCCACAGAAGGAATGGAGATGTAGAAAGCATCTCAGAAGGGATCCTCCCTAGTTTCTTGGACTGTAAAGGCGAGGGGGGAGAGATGGACTTTCAGACTTGCAAGATTCTGTTACTGTAACCTTGAAATAAAGGTAGTAGAGTTATGGTTTTAGTTTCTTGTCTCAAGTACCTCAAAGGATTGATAGTGGAATATCCTGCCCTCAGAGGTGCACATCACACCCTTCCCCACTGGTGTTTTAGGGACAGATAAAACCAGTTGCTGATCGTGGGTGCCTGTCCTGAATGTTTTTGTTTTTTGATGAAGGTTTTGTTTCTATCTGTGTTGTACGATGCCCAGAGTTCTCTGCGACTGGGGTGGGTTAGTGCACTTGGCTCGGTTTGGGATGAGCGTTTTCTGTTTTTAATGGAAGCTTTTAAACAAGTAGATAACAACTAACACAAACTAACATCACGTGAGAAAGGAGAAAAATAAATCAAAGAAAAAGCAAAAAGTGCAAGGCAAGAAAAAAAGTTAAGAAAAAAATAGAAAAGAAAGAAACAAAGATATAAAGAAGTGGCTTCCGATATTCTTCACAGCAGTTATAAGTACAAATATATTTTAACCTCTCTCTCTAATGGTGCATCATATTAGTCTTCTTTCTAATCATCAAAACCATAAATCACAAGTTCATTTTTTTTCATTCTTGCACTAAAAGTCCATAAGAGGCTTCCAGTCACCAATAAATGTAGATAGTGTCTTTTCTCTAATCAAAGAAATCCATTTCAGCAAAACCTATCAATTTCACCAACCATTCCTCCATAGTGGGTAATGTTGAATCTTTCCATCTATGCACATATAGTAATCTTGCCGCAGTAATCATATATTGAAATAATCTTCCATGGCTTTTTTCTAACTGTTTGTCCATTAATCCTAAACGGAAACATTCCGGTTTCAATTGAATATTCATCTTTAAAATCCTCTGTATCAAAGTATGTATTTGAATCCAAAATTGTTTAGCTTTTTTACATGTCCCCCAAGCATGATAAAATGTCCCTTTATGTTGTTCACATTTCCAATGTACATTTGAAGTGCTTTTATACATGCTAGATAATTTCTCTGGCATCATATACCAGCAATACATCATTTTATAAAAATTCTCTTTGAGATCATAACTCAATGTAAATTTCAACCCTTTTAACCACATATTTTCCCATTGATTCATCTGTATATTACATTGGTTCTCAACGGGGGTGGTACCGCCCCCCGGGGGGCGGTGGGAGGATGCTGAGGGGC